GGACGATTTCATATGTCTAGGTTATCGATGAGAACTTTCATCGAAAAATGAAAAGGATATATGTAGGCCTTCCTTAGAAGATGTCTTTGGATGTAGTACTAATTAGCAATCAATCCGACATGGGTGATTTCTGATCACATCACACGGACATGAGATGTCCGTCACGGTGCGAGTCATGGAGCCAAGAACAAATCGGAGATGGATGATGGGGGTCCGACGTGTGCTCCATGAACTCTTGGAGGTAGAGTTAGTTTTCTATCTTGCGTGGAATTACTTTTCTCCTAAATTTTTAAATATATTTTTCTCCCGATTTGTAGGCTTTTTTATAAGTGAGAGCAAGAATAGTTTGGCTGTCAAACGCTTTGATCGTCAAAAGTCAAAACGCATCCAGAATAGAGGCGTGCGATGCAATGAAAAAATGCTAAATAATGTACGACGAAACGACAAAACGATATTTCAATAGGCAGCATATATGCCCAACTCACTAGGCTTGTGGAGCGAGCAGATTACTTTTTTGTTAAGAATATTCTCTTCCACAATAAGGCCGCGAGGGCTATTTCTCTCTCGTACTGATTCCTATTAGGAACACCTATGCATAGGAAATAGTGGGCTGGCCCCAACATTGTACCTTAATGTATTTATCTTTTTTGGGGGCTTTCCCTAACTGCAGCCTATTTTTTCTTCGGTATTTTTCGGTTTTCCTTTTTCTTATTACATTCTTCCATTTTCACTGTTTTCTTCTTTGTTTTTAATGATTTACTTCACTTTTTTCCCTTTCAGGTTTTCATAAAAAAATCATTTTTCCTTTTTCAACACTTGTCTACTTTTCTCATGCATAATGTAAATTTTCTTATACATAAGGGACAATTTTATTGCATGTGTTTAACATTTTTTAAATAAATGGTCAACATTATTTTAATATAGGTTTTATTGTCTATGTTTTTCTTACACATTGTACATTTGTTTGTATATATCAGGAACATTTCTTTATACACATTTAACATTTCAAATAGATAATTACATTTTTTTTAAAGTGCGATGAATACTTTAAAAACCTAAAAAGGGGAAAAGGGAAAATGAAAAGAAAAAACATAAGATAATAAAAAGAACATAAAGTACAAACAAAAGGAAAATTTTGTGGGACGTCATCCTTCCATATTGGGTCAGCCCACGAAAAAAGGCGAGTAGGGGAACTTCCGCTTTTCCACCAAAGACATTGGCTTCGCTTGTGTGTGGCTTTATATATTTTCTTTCTATTTCTAAAACAGACGACATACAAAACTCGAGACAACGTACAAAACACTTACGTGACTAAAAAAAGTGGAGAAACGCTTCTTCCTTTAATGTTAGGTAGAGATTCATGGCTCACTCGCAAAAAAAAATCATACCTTATTCATGGGCTCATGGCTGCGGCAGCGTATACCACTACTCCACCCGTACTAGCTGAACTTGTCAAAAAAAAGGTGAACTTGTCCTTTATGCATGCACACACACGCACTATACATGTCAATCACTCTATAATTATCAGTGCATAACTGTGTATATTGACAGGTACATTTACTTGCACAGGAGCACACCGTACATATATACAAATTAATGGAAGGAGAAAAAACGAGATTAAAACCCTGATTCTAGTCTTCTATTTTAGCAACAATTGTGCTATTTTTAATTAAAATCACACAACAAACTATCATATCTGATTTGTACAATATTCTTACACTAAAAGCTTTAAGGTGTGGAATTAAGATCAACACAACGACCTGGCGAACAAAATTGGTGCAGTAAAGAAAACTAAAACAAAAACAAATACAAATACAAAATCCAAAACAGTTAATTTTTCTAAGAAAGAATGAATTAAGGGCATTGGTATTACCCTAAAGAAGAAAGAAAATGAAAGAAAAACTTCGTATTGTGAATGTTGATATTCTTTTCCATAAGCTTAGTCAAACTTCACAAAATTTTCCCCACAAAAAAAACTTCACAAAATTTGACTGAAGAGATAATTAATGTGCGTAGTAAAAATAAAGAGTATTATCCAAATATGCCAAACATGAACAATCATAAATACTCTGTTCTCAAAAAACTTCTTGTATGGAGGAACCGAAATGTATTAACAGCTTGCACACAAAATATGCAAAATTTGCACAATTCGTAGTGGGAAAGAACAAGTGTAAACTAATGCAAATTCAACAGTAATAATGCTTTAAAATATAAAGGCACATAAAAAAGTAATTCCTTTTTTAACTTTCTAGCAAAATTTAAGTAGTGTCACATAATTGTGGAATTATAGGTTGCCGCATGCACAACTATAGGGGAAAAAATTCAACAACCACAAAATACGACTAAGCATCGGCAGAACATAAATAATAAAATAATTATTAATTGATTGAATTAGATAAATTATGAAAAATGAATTTCATTTTAAGTTTCTAACAAAAAATTTAGTAGTGTCAGAGGATTGCAACATAAAATACATCGTCCCTTGCACAAAATAAGAGAAAATCCAATGACTAGAAAATCGACTAAGCATCTATAAACAAATACATAATTAAAAAATCTAAGCTACAATGATTTAACGACAATGATAAAGAAAAATAAGATAAAGAAAAAAGTCAAAGCAAATGATGACAAAAAATGCTAGCAATTTTATATAACTTACACGATTCAACAATATACAAGAACAATCATATACTAGTGCAAAATTTAGCAACAATATGATTTTGCACATACATTGTATAGAACTTGTATGTATACCTCAATGCTATACTTAAAGTTCAAACAAGTAAATATCAACATACAAGCAATTTTTTGTTGCAATTACAAAATAAATTACATTGGTCATATTACATTCCTACATACGAACTGCCTAACTTCTTTGATCCTGTGTGCTCCTCCGGGTCAAGAGTTCTGCGTGGGCCTGCTTGTACTGCTCCTCCGTGACCTTATACATCTGGCATCACACATCATTAGGCGAGTCCACTTTCACATCCTTGGCAGCACATACCACCATCAAGAGGTTAAGGATCTATAGTTTATTTTTATTTTCTTTGAAACAAAGGCAAAAGCTTTGCCTCGTCTATTAAATAAGCGAGAATAGAGTTTGTTACGATTTCACCCACAACACCACATGAATTATTACTCTCGCGATATAAAAGACCCTAATTTTTTAGCACCGGCGGTGACCCAAAGGTTGGATTCAGTCAAGATGGTGTTAAGCAAGATAGTCGGTGGAGCACTTTTAAACCTAAACACTTGCATTTCGCTCATTCAAAATTGTACACCACACAAGCATGGTGAGGGAGGCTTTGGCTTGTCGGTTTGGCGTGCCGGCGTCACAAGTGCTTGCCCACCAAGCGTCCATGGAGTCCATCAAGTGCCACGAAGAGGTGTCCAACTTGAAGATGTGAATTTTTTCAATGACCAAGGCCTACAGCCTTAAGAGTGTAGCGGCACTTAAAGAATAGGTGTGACCCGCTTTCTTGCACCCTCTTGCAAAGTAAACACAGACCACAATTTGGCCACCCTCTCTTGGCTAATCTATAATAGTTTATGGTATCAAGTGGATGAGATTTACATACTTTCAAAGTGATAAGATAAGATCGTGTTACTGAAGTGACAGGTACAATACCTTATGTGTGCAGAGTGCACCCCCATCTAGCTTTCGAATCGTCCAGTTCAAGCCTAAAACATCAATTAACAGTCTCGGGTTCTCAGCAGCCAGAGGCGAGAGGAGGGCAGCTGGCATCATACATTAGAACAAGCCTGCAGTAAATAGAAGACTTGAATATGAACAGTTTTCTACCAATGTTTTCCGCACTACGAGCGTTAAAAACTGACAGGAGTACTACTAAAATGTACTCCCTCTATAAACTAATATAAGATCGTTTAGGAGGGAATACACCAGAGAAAAGAAAGTAACTCAGAATTAAGACCAGCTAGGAAATTAATCTCTACTGACCTCCTTTTCCACCAGCTGCAGTAGTAACTCAGTGTCTAGAACACAGAGGAGGCCATTCCAACCCAACAGTTCCTGCAACTCGTGGAATCATAGGTTCTTTTTACTGGTACAACTCATTGGAATGAATGCTTGGAATTATTTTCTTCAGCAGGCTGAATGATGATGCGGGCATGTTATATTCTGCAGTGAACTGCAGTAGCTCGTTCTCTAGAACAGCGAAAGCCTGCCATGAAAAGCATCAGAAAATACCAGTAACACTTGCTGATCCGTGATTTGCCAGACGAATATTTATATCTTCAAAGGCCTAACAAAGAATGCATTGGTACTAGTACCGCACAAAGACTAAATTTCAATACCAAGATTGTCCGGTCAAACAAATTACCATATAAAAGAGCATAATCACAGCATTGCCACAACTCCAAAAGCTCTAGACAACAACAGAAGGATTCAACCAGTCCAGAAAAGATAATTTGAGCCAACTCTGATGCACTGGTGGACCCAGAAACAATTCCGTCCCACATTGTTAGCAGGGCAAAGAGGATCGTCGATGTGAATTGGATCAATGCTGCAAAATCAACAGTATGGAAAAATACCATAGACAGAAGGTGACAGAAAGAAACAATGTATTACTGACATCGACTTTTATTACCTGTGCCCTCTTTCTCGGTTCAAACAAATTCCTCTTCCTTGGATGGAAATACGCTTATGACGTGAATCAAATACATTCCTGTCATCCAGAATGTTTGAAAGCGGTTAGAAGTCAGATGCACCAATATATTGCTAATTTAGCTGTCGAAAAAAGAGAAACCATACACAAGGGTCCTATAGTCATTCTAGCATACTTTACACGCTTTTTCCACATCAAGCGGCACTCATCTTTTCCCTTGTGTTTTAAACAATGAAGTGTTCATACATACTCACTTACCCAAAATAATTACAGGAAATCCATCAAAAGGCTCCCTAGATTCTGCCAAACACAAAACAGCAAAAATATAGCATTAGTGGCAATTTACAATAAAAATATAAACTTGCTAAGAAGAGGGGCAAGGGATAAATTTTTATTTTTCCATTGCTACTACTGAAGTTTGAAATTCAAAGCTGGCTAAATAATATCTACATACATATGAGCCGATCATTAAAATAGAATATATTATACAGAAACAAATATCTCACAGAAACAGGATATAGTGATTAAGGTAAAAAAGTGTAGATCCCAACTGAGCTATGCTATTCAACATGTGCAACTTACTTGGTAAATAGGCCGGCCAAGATGTTCATGCTGAAGAAAATGAGTGGTTAACAACACCTGCAAAGGATATTAAAAGATGAAGTTCTTTTCGCAGGTCATCTCAAGAGTCATTAATTAATATAATATGCTAACATGAAAAGTAAGACCAGGCGATAAGCATCAACTATGTTATCCAAAGATGAGAATATATAAGAAAATATAAGTTAGCTCGGACTCGTGCTTACAATGTTGTTAGACATACATTACCAATCACTGTGAGTACATATTATCTGATTGAAAGGTTTAATCCAGACAAACCATCAAAATTATAGAACATTCAACTCTGACCAACCCTGATAAAATTAGCGAGAAAATTTCCTACTAAAATTAAGGAAGAAATTTTAGTCATTACTAACTCAAGAGAAATGATCCGGAGAGCATGTAGGTAAACATAAAGAAGTATCCGGTGCAAACAAACTTTCAGAGTCATAAATCAACATGAAAATAAATCACAGGAGTACCATGAAAAGCAGCATACCAAACAGTAAGAGCTTAGACCACCCGAATATGGGTGGTCCAAACTACGATCTGCCAAAAACTTCTTCATAACTAAGGCAAGGGGCAAAGTCGCAGGAAATTGCTGAGTCAGCTCACGAACCTGTAGCAACATAAGGAAGAAAGTGAATAAAGAGCGGCAAACTTGGATCCCTAATTCCAGTCCTGAAATTTGTGTATTCACGACATTCAAGCACAATGTCATGGGCACCAAAGCAAGTGGTACAGTGGTAGTACCATGTAGTTAGATAGTTCCATGGTTAGACTACCAAGCAACTAGTTAGCTGACCATTCATGTGTACAAGACTCGCACTTGAGAAAGAAACTAAGTGATTGTGGTATTGAATGCTACGCTACAACAACAACAACAACAACAACAACAACAAGCTGGGGTAGGCTAGAGGTGAAACCCATAAGATCTCGCGACCAACTCATGGTTCTGTCACCTGGATAGCAAACTTCCACGCACCCATGTCCATGGCTAGTTCTTTGGTGATACTCCAGTCCTTCAGATCTCTCTTTACGGACTCCTTCCATGTCAAGTTCGGTCTACCCCGACCTCTCTTGACATTATCAACACGCTTTAGCCATCCGCTATGTACTGGAGCTTCTGGAGGCCTGCGCTGAATATGCCTAGACCATCTCAGACGATGTTGGACAAGCTTCTCCTCAATTGTTGCTACCCCAACTCTATCTCGTATATCATCATTCCGGACTCGGTCCTTCTTTGTGTGGCCACACATCCATCTCAACATGCACATCTCCGCCACACCTAACTGTTGAAGATGTCGCCCTTTAGTCGGGCAAAACTCAGCGCCATACAACATTGCAGGTTGAATTGCCGTCCTATAAAACTTGCCTTTTAGCTTTTGTGTCACTCTCTTGTCACAGAGAATGCCAGAAACTTGGCACCACTTCATCCATCTGGCTTTGATTCGATGGTTCAGATATTCATCGATATCCCCATCCTTCTACAACATTGACCCCAAATATCGAAAGGTGTCCTTCTGAGGCACCACCTGCCCATCAAGGCTAACCTCCTCCTCGTGCCTAGGATTACTGAAACCGCACCTCATGTACTTGGTTTTAGTTCTACTAAGTCTGAAACCTTTGGATTCCAAGGTTTGTCTCCATAGCTATAACTTCCTATTGACCCTTGTCCGGCTACCATCGACTAGCACCACATCATCCGCAAAGAGCATACACCATGGGATATCTCCTTGTATATCCCTTGTGTGACCTCATCCATCACGAAAGCAAAAAAGATAAGGGCTCAAAGTTGACCCCTGGTATTGAACGCTACATACTAAACAAATCCAAAACTCTACAAATGTTGCCTTCCAGCTTCTCTTTTTCTTTAGTTGAACCATCACCACGACAACATTAAAAATTAGAAATCACACAAGAACTATCATTATCTCATCCTTAGGATCATTTAAGGCGACATGTATATAAGCATCAAAGAGAAAATATTACTACTTTTTAATGGGAAATCATTAGTGCTTTCAAGCATGTGACAACTAACAAGAACCAAGAGCAATGATGATAATTCATACTGTGGATGATTGATATGATGCGACATAAGTATGGCAATAAATTTATGTATAAATCTTATAAGATCATTCTTCACACACATATTATTACAATACTAAAGTGCAATCTTACATGGAGCGGATATTTAAGGTAACAATCCATAACTACAAGAGACTGGGCAGATACTCTATGGTTTTGATCAATTGGGGTTTTAGCAGCTCGACGACCCAACATGCCAACATCATAGATGAGGTCCAGGGTATACTTTCTTTGAGAAAGAGCTATTCCTTTGAGAAAGAGCTATTCCTTTTTCAGGCCTTCACACACATATTATATCAAGGAAGTACTTGAGTCGACCAAGATCTTTAACTTCAAATGCCTTACTTAGGCACCCCTTTAACCTTGCTATCTCTATGTCATCTTCGCGGGCGATAATGATATCATCATCATAAACTGCGAGGATGGTCATTGCCCCTTTAGAGTGTCTATAAAACAATGTATGGTCACCATTTCATTGTCCATACTCCATGTCACACACCGTCCGTCTAAACTTGTCAAACCAAGCTCTTGGAGACTACTTCGGTCTGTAAAAAGCTTTATTTAGCCTGCATACCTTGCCAGCAGTCTCTCTCAGAAGTCGAAAACCCACGTGGAATCTCCATGTATACCTCCTCCTGCAAGTCCCCATGCAAGAAGACATTCTTCACATCAAGTTGGTGTAAATGCCACCCGAAATTTGCTGCATATCAGATCAGAATCCTCACGGTGTTCACCTTTGCTACTGGAGCAAAGGTCTCATCGTAGTCAATGTCGCATGTCTGGTTGTAACCCCTCGCCACAAGCCTCGCTTTGTACCTTTCACCCTTTCCTTCTGCATTCTGCTTCATAGTGCAGATATACCCACTTGCAGCTGACTGCTTTCTTTCCTGTTGAAAAGGGTGTTAGTACCCATGTCTTATTCTTACACAAAGCCTTCGGCTCTTTCACCATGGCCACACGCCACTTTGAGTCCTCCTTTGCCTTCTTCCAGTCAGTCGAAATTGACATAGAGTAAAGAGAGGCAACAAACACTTTGTTGGCCGAAGATAATGCTTCATAGGGAACATAGTTTCTGTTAGGAAGTATTAGTAATTGGTCCTGGAGTCCTTATTAGGCTATGTTTCCTTTCCTTGCATCTCAAGTCCTGCTGTCATTATTAGGATATGTATGCTTGTTGGGCCTTGCAACAGAGATAAGTTACATCATAACATGGTATCATGAGCCAAGGTTTAGGGATTTTCTTGGGCGCTGCAACTCACCCTCCCAATCTAATTCACATCGATGTCTTCTCCTAGCTGTGCTACTCTCCCGTTGCAGCTGCCTCCCGAAATGATTCATCCGGCTCCATCAACAGGCCCAACCTCCAGGCTGCCCGCTGGATCATGCCCACCCATAGGTCTCCCTCGCTAGAAGTCAACTACCCTGCCGCAGGTCT